GAACTTACTTTTTAGACCATTCTGGCCTTGAACTCAGAGCTATCTACCTCTGACTCCTGGTTGGTGGGATTAAAAGCATGAGACACCATATCTCACACTGTTTTTGAGGTCTCTTGTAGCTTAGGCTGGCCTCAAAATTGCTGAGTAGCTGAGGCAGAACTTCTGATCTTCTACTTCTATCTCCCTAGTTCTGGCTTTACAAGCATGCACACTATACCCTGTTTATGTAGTGTTGGGGATTGAACTAGGCACTTCATGGATGATCTGCCAACTGAGCTCCATCCCTACCCTGGGTTTTTTGTTTGTTTGGTAGGTTGGTTTTTTGTGGTGGCTTTTCTAAGATTTATTTATTTAAGTATATGACTGCTCTATTTGCATGTATGCCTGTATGACAGAAGAGAGCACCAGATCCCATTATAGAAGCTTGTGAGCCACCATGTAGGTACTGGGAACTGAATTCAGGTCCTCTGGAACACTTCTGGGCTGTTTAACCAGCCCTGGTGGCTTTTCTTTTAAGTAGTCTGTCTCCTGTTTTGGCTTGCTTCCAGCCAAAAAAGCTCTCTTTTTGCTTTTTGAAATCTCTGTCAGAGGCTTTTAAAGAGAGATGAAGCTAGGCTTTGAGAGCTGCTTATGTTCATATCTTCTGGGGCATTCTGGAAGTACCCAACATCTCTGTCCTGTGGTTCAGCTACTCTTACACAGACCCCACTCCATGAAGGGCTGAAGGTACTCTTAGCTGGATCTAATCCATGACAAATGTTCCAGGGATTGGAGTATGTTCGGTTGGTTGAGGTTTAGTCACCTTGGCCTCTATACTGTTCAACCCATCCTGGGATCCTTCTGGGAACTTCCTGAGGAAGGAGTACATAGGAAGTGAAGTGGTGATGCACACCTTTAATCCCACCCCTTGGATGCAGAGGCAGGTGGAGCTCTGTGAGTTCAAGGGTAGCCTGTTCTACAGAGGAAGTTCAAGGATAACTAAGGCAACACAGAGAAACCTGTCTCAAAAAAAAAAAAAAGCAAACAAATATGAAGTAAAATGTCTTTAGTGCTAAAAGTATCATTATTGTTCTGTCTTAGCTGATAAAGTAAAGAATTGGGTATGCAATCCTCAACACCTCCTATTTCTCTGTCTCAATATTTTTATTCCCCTATGGGTAGTGATTTTAAGGAGTGCAGAATGTCCATTTGCTTAAACTTAAGCATCATATAACTCTTTGATTACATTACCTAAAAAGAGAACATTGGAGTGTACTAGAGATGGTATGAAGGGGTCCTGTGAGCCATACCTGTGACATGGTGCTAGCACATCAGCTAGAAAGTTGGGTCTAGCCCACTGAACACGACAATGTAATGTATAACTTTTATGGGTATTCCCCCAAAACGGAAGGTTTTCTTTGTAAAGCCTGCTTAACAGTGGCTAGTGGAAGTGACTGTTAAAAAGTCAACCATTTTCACAGTGTAATAAGATGTCACAGAACTGAACCCTGACGAATGATGAATAGAATCTTTCGCAGAATGCCCCTTAACACACCTGCAGGTGAAAGGGGGATGCCAGGTGGTCCTGTCTGTAGTCCATGTTGTAGTACTACTAATCCTTTGTGTTTCACATATTAAATGTGATCTGAATGTACTTTCCAAAGTTTGTATATGGGAAATTAAACCCCAGTGCAATAATAATGTTGGGCAGGTGTTTGGTTCTTAAACTTCTAGCCTCAAGAATGGATAAGGGCCATCAGGAGGAGGACTTTGAAAGTAAGTTCACACTTAACTTTGCCACATGAGATCATGGCATTCCTCTCCTGAAGGATACAGCTGAAAACCTCACCTTAGGGCCAGACATCCAACTTGCCAGATGGTGATTTGGGATGTTTACTTCATTTGTTGTTGCTAAGTTGCCCACTTTGTGATGTTCTGTTATGGCAGCACAGAGGGACAATATATAGGGAAGCCATATCATTCTTTTTCCTTGTGGGTCAGTAGCCTTGAATACACAGGCAACTCTTTCTGAAGGCTCTATGGGCTTCTGTTTGCTTTTATTATTATTATTATTATTATTATTATTAGTTAACTGGGCATTTGACAAAGCAAAGCAGTAAATCCATTTGGATGAGAAGTGAAGATCAAAGTGGTCACCAAATGGTGAGGCCAGACCCAGGGAAGCCTTACTATCCTTTCCAGAAGCCCTTAACATTTGATAGGCCCTGGTAAATTGGTACCAGCTAAGTTGCCTAGTGTTTCTTTTCTTCCAGTGGGCCCTACTAAGTATGCATATTCCCTTGCAGGGGCACATCCGCACCTTCCAGTGGGCCCTACTAAGTATGCATATTCCCTTGCAGGGGCACATCCGCACATGTGTCTATCATCATAATATCCCCTTACATAGGTAGGTCTCAAGGAATGTGCTGCTAATGGTTTATTGTTTGAATCTCTTCCTTCTTGGGCTACTTGAGATAGAACACAGTCTTAACAACTGTCTCCCATGACCCAGGCTGACAGAAATGCCTAGAGAGGTGACATCACAGTTCTTGCAGGCTTGTCTTCTCTTGCTGCTACCAGGGCTGGTGGAACATTTGGCTTGTAGTATTGAGCTTTAGGGTGTGACTATGTCTTTAGTTGCAATTTGTGGGTACTTTAACACTTTGAAGTATAGAGATATAAGGTGGTTCTTTCTGTTCTTGTGAAGAGCTCTGTTAGGTTTTAAGAGACCCTGTGTCTCTCAAAACACTCTTGTTAGTGCCAGCTCCAGAGTGTGAGTATATATGCTTGTAGTTAAATGTCCCTGTAGTCTGACAAGTGATTAGACTTGGGAGACAAGGGGTTGTTGTGGTATCTGTGCCTTCCTGAACTGATGTGTGTGGCCTTGGGGAGCTTAGGGAGTCTGGTGGGCAAGGGGCAGGGTTATTTTCTGCCACCTGGAACCTAGGATTGAATTGTCTTCCATCCTCCCATGAGATTTCAGGAGGGGGATATGAGAAAGCTTGGGGCAGGAGACTCCTAGGTAGGTGTCTCTGACCTGCCACAGGGCCCATACTGGCAGCATGTAACAGGACTGGAACCACTTTTCTTTCCCAGGTCTTTGGCCAGTATCGCTTCCACCTGTCCACAAGCATGGGGAATATCTTTGCAAACCTCTTCAAGGGCCTTTTTGGCAAAAAAGAAATGCGCATTCTCATGGTGGGCCTGGATGCTGCAGGAAAGACAACAATTCTATACAAACTGAAGCTGGGCGAAATTGTGACCACCATTCCCACCATTGGTGAGAAGCTGGGCCAGGGCCAGGGTAGGGGTTGGGTGTGGGGATCCAGAGTACAGAGGGCCCTCAGCTGTAACCCTCCCCCCCTCCCCCCAGGTTTCAACGTGGAGACTGTTGAATACAAGAATATCAGTTTTACTGTGTGGGATGTGGGTGGCCAGGACAAGATCCGGCCGCTGTGGCGCCACTACTTCCAGAACACCCAAGGTAAGCAGCCAGTCCTTGTCCTAGATTCCTCTTATTTGCCTCAAAGGGATATACTTGGCTCGCTGAGTCTTGTGGTCTTTGCCATTTTGGGGCATGAAGCTGGTGGGAGGATTGGATCTAGAGCCTGTGGGTTGATGAGTGGGAAGTGTTGAATATGTGCAGTAATGTGGCCATGTTTCAGGCTTGATCTTCGTAGTGGACAGCAATGACAGAGAGCGTGTGAACGAGGCCCGTGAAGAGCTCATGAGGATGCTAGCTGAAGATGAGCTCCGAGATGCCGTTCTCTTGGTGTTTGCCAACAAGCAGGTAGGCACCAGCAAGGTCCTTCCCTGAAGGACAACCTGTATCAGGGAAGAAAGAGGAGGGGTGATTGGCTGCTTGTGGTCCCTGTCACTAATTCCTCCTTTCCCTCAGGACCTCCCCAATGCCATGAATGCGGCCGAAATCACAGACAAGCTGGGGCTGCACTCTCTACGCCACAGGAACTGGTACATTCAGGCTACCTGTGCCACCAGCGGGGACGGGCTCTATGAAGGACTAGACTGGCTGTCTAATCAGCTCCGGAACCAGAAGTGAACCAGATCCCTCCCTCCCCCTCACTTCCTCTTCTCCGCCCTCAGCTTTCCTCTCATGTGGCAAACGTGCGACTCTGTGGTCCTGAGTGCCAGAAGCTGTCTCCATGGGTTGGTCACAGTGTGCATCGCACCGTGCTGTACATGTGCAGACGCAGCCTGCAGCCAGGTTTTTATTTAATGTAAATAGTTTCTGTTTCCACTGAGGCAGTTTCTGGTACTCCTATGCAATATTACTTAGCTTTTTTATTGTAAAAAAGAGAATCAACTCACTGTCAGTACTGAGAAGGGATTTGGGTGTAGGGGCACCTGGCCTCCGGGAGCCGTTGGGCTGTAGACTGGTGTCGGTATCCATTTGGTGGTTGGTTTTTAACCCAAACTCAGTGCATTTTTTAAAAATAGTTAAAAATACAGGACAAGAACACTTGAACACACAGAACGGAGACTATGCCTAGTGTAGGTTTTGCAGTTAATGGCCTGAATGCTAGTTATCAGATCACCTGTTTCCCTGGGGGAACAGGAGAGAAGGTGACGAACAAACCACCATCCGCTGCATGGTCACAGTAGAGCCCCCGTGACTCGCCTGTCTTTGGGTCACCTGCATTCCATAGCATTGTGCTTGTACTTGTGCTCACACGGTCATCTAGGGGTGGGCTGGGAGCCATTGTGGGCTGCAGGGCCTGGCTTGTACTTGGTGTGTGGCTGGGCCCAGTGGCAGCCTGCATACCCAGCTTACTCTTGGGCCCACTTGGACGCACTGGCAGGAGGCCTGGGTCTCACCAGCAGGAGTGCGTGCAAGGTGGGAGGGTCGGTCCATTACAGACCCACATCCTGGAGCACCCCCATCTCCATGTGTGAAGTAGCTTCCTCCCTCAGCCTGCAAGGGTCCGATTTGCCATCGAAAGACGACCTCTACTTTTTTCTTTTGTATTTTGATAAACACTGAAGAAGCTGGAGCTGTTAAATTTATCTTGGGGAAATCTCAGAACTGGTTTATTTGGTGTCGTGGAACCTCTTACTGCTTTCAATACACAATTAGTAATCAACTGTTTTGTATACTTGTTTTCAGTTTTCATTTCGACAAGCACTGTAATTATAGCTATTAGAATAAAGTCTCTTAACTATTTGATGGGCTTGTGTGTCAGTGCCACCACTACCAGGCTGCCTCCTGAGATTGAGAGCCATTTCCTGTTAAAGGACACAGGTGCCCTTCAAGCCCCTAGTGGAAGTTGGTACGATCTGGATGTCTTGACTCCCCTCATGTCTTATAGGTACAACTAAGGCAGCCGGCCTTGGAGTACGTATCTCTGGGTAGGTGTGACCACTAGAAGATCCAAAGTCTACCATCCTTCTGAGTGGGCCCCTGCCTAAGTGGACTGACCTTCACCCCCATGAGGTGCTGCTTAGATAACTAATCTCTCATATTAGACCTGCCACAGCTTGATTCTCAGGGACACTTTGGGGGTCTGCCTAAAAGTACACACTCCCAGCATAATAGCTTTTACAATCTGAACTTGCTGCCAGCAAGTTGCTGTGTGCACACAGGCTCTTAAAATTGCTGTTACCTGGCTACTGAACCTCTTAGACAGCAGATGCATTCAGATCCACAAAAATTTGTTCTTCCAACTTCTAGGTCACTTGTATGATGTAGGATTCTGGTCCCTAGATCCAGTGCCCTTAGGTATACTGGACGGGAACCCTGGGCTCCCAGCCTAACCTGTCCTCAGTGAGATAATACACTCTACTTTTAAAATACATTTACTTAAGTACAAAGTGGGCTGATACAAAAAAGTAGAAGTGATCAGTAATACACACCCCTAAACCTCGAGGGCCTGGACTGTGGCAGTACAGTCTCCTGGGCAGTTACATCTTCCTTGGTGGGAGGATGAGGCAACAGCACTACCCTCGTAGAACCACTCGGCTCTGGTAACCCAGGACCCACTCGAGGACCTGGAGTGGTTGCCTCCAAATGGCAAGATAGACCCTGAGCAAGCTTGGCTCAGGATCCTATCAGGGAGCAGCCACCTGCCTTACCCCACATAGGAATGAGACAGTTGGGCAAGTAGGGAGTGGGCTGGTAGCCACTTGGCGTCTGGTGGCTATGCTTTGTAAACCCCACAGAGCTCAGTTGGGCAGGGCAACCAGGGCTCTGGTGTCCTTTGGTCTAGCCACATTCTCAGTCATCCGAGCTTCTGTCTTGTCGTCTGCGAGATGGGTTCCTTCCACTGTCCTGGCTATGTTCCCGCTTCCTCTTATAGCAGGGAGAGAAGTCAGAATGTCTCTGGTGTCTGGGCCTACGAAGACAAGGACAACAAGACATTTAAAGGAAGGGTCTCTCACCCTGCCAAGCACCACATCTAGCCTGGCTAGCTTTGCCCCCCCCCCCATTTCCTTAATGCCCCAGGTAGCTTACCGGGCAGGAGAGGGAGATGAAGAGCAGCTGTCAGCCTCCCTCTTGTGTTCTTTGTCTTTCTTCTTTTTGTGTTTCTTGTGTTTCTTCTTCTTTTTCTTCTTTTCTTTCTTGCTTTTCTTATGGCTCTCTGCACTGGAAGAAACAATACATACAAAGGGTCTAAGCCTGAAGGACTAGAGTCTACTCTACTGTGGGATAGTCTCACCTAGCAGGGAAAGGCAGAATAGAGCAGTGTCTATGCCATAGCATTGTGCACTGATAACTACTACATGTTGTGAGTTTACATTTATTTGTAAATGAGCTTCGTATCTGGCTCCATAACCATAAGGGTGAGTGCTGGAATGCTGCCAAACTAGGTGGGCTTTCTCTCTCTTTGGAGACAAGTTCTCATTATGCAGCCTTGTCTAGCTTGGAACTATCCCCTACGTACAAAGTTGAGGTGACACAAAAGTACAAGTAACCAGACATACACAGCTAAATCCCAAGGCCTGGAACCAGCTTGTGAGAACTCTTGAGAGATCAGCCTGCTTCTGTCTACCAAATGCTAGGACTAAAGAAAGTTGTGTGCCACCACTACCCTAGCCAACTTACACTTTAACTGCTCCACCTCCCACCAAACTGGCCAGCATCGTGGTCCTGAGTGTCACCCTCCTGTTTGTACCTATCACCCTGCTGGGTCACCTATGGCAGCTACTGAGACTAGCCCAGAGAGGGAGGCCCACCTACCTCAGTAAAACTAAGAGAATTAAGGCAGTGCTTTGTCCCTTTATGCGTGCAGACTCAACTTACTCCAGTTCGGCCTTGTCCTCAGCACGAGGCTTCTTCCTGGTAACAGATGGGGCAGTACTTGGGCCTTCGCTGTCCACACGGTGGTGCTGTATAAGAGGAGTAGCTGTGATGAGAGACACCCAGGGACTCCTCATCACACACACCTCCAAACCCCAGGATCCTGTGCATTGGAGTTGACAAAGTTTACCGTGAACACTGACAGCCCAAGTTTGGCAGCCTCTTTGTCTTCTCGGGATAGCGCCACACGGCCCGCGGAACCACTGCAGGGGACAGAGCATTTGATGACAGTTCTCAATCACCGCCCAGTCCTGTCCCAGACTCCCCAACTGGCCTAACCTGGCGCTGCCCAGGCCTAGCAGCCGGTCCACACCCTTCTCCTCAGGGTCTCCACCTTCCCGTTTGCAGATCTCCACGAAGTCCTGCGAAAGCGGGATAAGACAGGAGGTTCTAGGCTGGGACAGACGGACCCCCAACCACCCTGCGGACCTCGAACCATATCTCAGACTCACCTCCTTGCTCAGGCCGGTGGGCTGTTTCCTCACGTTCTTGTAACCACTGCGAGCGAGAGTCAGGAATGCTCATCAAGGGTCTGGCCCTTCCGTCCCCTTCCTTCCCGTGCCCCGCCCACATCCAGCCCCGTCCCAGGGCCACTCAGATCCCGCCCCGGCGCTTGCTGTCGCCCCGCAGCCCAGGCACTTACAGTGCGGCCAGCAGCGCCTCACGCTCCGCCTCGCGCACGGCTGCCAGCTCTTCCTCACGGCTCGGGCCGGTACACGGCGCGCGGTCCTTCGCGTACCAGGTGAGGTCGCGGCCCTTCTGCCAGCGGCCTACTGGCGCCATCAGGGAGTTGCCCAGGTAGTTCTCCCTCTGCTTGTCAGTCTTCACATCCTCCCAATTGAACTGGTCCTGCCCGCCACGCACGCCGCCGCGACTGGAGCCGAACATGGCGCTGGAGCCGCTGCACAGCCTTCAGTACCCACGCTCCCGAGTCGGACTGCCCGCAGCCCTCGCCCTCCGGACGCTCGCAGTGACGTCACTCTCGCGCCCCCGCGGGCGCCTGCGCTCTCGCTTAAGTGCTCATGCGCCTGCGCACTGCGTATCCCGGGCCGACTCAATCAAGGTCCTCTTTCTAAAGGGCGTCCAGGGTTTCACAAGCGCATCCTTCATCCAATTACCACGTGCGCCTGCGCACTAGCTCCTCGAAAAGGCGGCTGTGCTATCCCACCAGATAACGCTTGTGTTAATAATCTCGGTGGATTGGGATAGCACAAAACCCTAGTGACACCAGGAGAGGCTAGTCCCTTGCTTCCTGGAAACCAAGCGTGCTAACTCCAAAGGCCTGAGGTCCCGGGTCACTGTTGAAACTAAGTTAAATAATGGCAAAACTTCATGGGACACTGAGGGGCAGATAAAGTCGCCAAGAAACATAGATCAACTCTTCCGTGCTCTGGGTGACAGAGCGTGGCCTCAAAATGAATAGAAATGGAGCTACAACTTAATGATAGAACACTTGCCTAACATGTAGGCAAGTCCTTCGTCTGATGAATTACCATCCTTCGTCTGATGAATTACCCAACCTGGAACTCTCTAGCATCCCAAATAGACACATCTCATTTTTATGTCTTTATTCTGAACCCATGTTGAGTACCTCCCAACAGCTTGTGAGGCTCCTGGTATAAGCCCTCAGCTCATGTCCTGGCTTTAGAGGACACAGCTGGACTCAGATCCCTCAGAACAAGATCATACTAGGGATGAATGGATGGTCCCAAGGGTGCTGCACAATAAGGTGTAAACGTATCCTTTATTTGCCTGATGTAATTGCCATCTCCGAAGCTTACTGCCTCTGTCTGCTAACCTAGGTCTAGTCTTGGAAGCTTCTAGCCTCTATACAATCTTATCTTGGCCTAGAATGTTTTCAACTTCTGAGATTTATTGCTGAATGAGCTCATCCGTTCTAGCTCTTTCTGAACTCTAGCTGGATGGTCATCTCAGCTGTTCTGGCTCAAACTCCTCTACACACTGAATGATTCAAACTGGCTTCTTTCAGCTTCTCCTGGATTGCTCTGCTTGGCCTCATGTTACCTTTGGTATTATGTTCTAATCTTCTGGCTCCTTATAATTTTCTGGCTCATTCTGTCTTCACCTGCCTAGTTTGTTCTCTCTCTGGAACCTGCCTCTGTACAACCGGTCCCAGTAAAACTCCCCTCTCTTTTTCTTTCTCCTAAGTCACCCCTTTCCTCTCTGTTCTCATGAGAGTTAGGCATATCCTGTTCTGTCAAATCTTTCTGAGTCATCACTTTGTCTGCCACCCAATTGGACATCACTTTCAAACATGAGTGCTTCCTTAAGACAAACTAATTTTCCCTTTGTTGGGATTAAAGGTGTATACTAAGGCTGAGGCATACAACTGGAAATGGGATTTTCTAGGAAACAACACAATCACAAGGTTCATGGTATGAACAAATATCCTACAACAATAAGGGAACAGCAGACAGTCATGCGGGCCACAGCAAAAGATAAGCGTACCAGCCATCTCCCAGGGAAGGTCTCCAGAAAGCAAGACAGCAACTTCTGGGGCCCTCACCTTTCATCAGGCCAGGTATGCTTAGGCCACAGAAGGGTGAGCTGCATGGTCAGAGCACAGAATGCATACTAGGTGACGCTGAGAGGGAGGTGTGCTCTGGGGCTGGGAGGGTATGGGTTCTAAGGCCTATGCATCCTTGAGTAATCACCTATTCCTGTGAGCACCAGAATCTGAAGTAACCGAGTACTGCTATGAAGGGTTGGATACTCCCTGGCCTGCTTTTGAGCTTAGGCATTTACTCTGTGTGCTCTTGCATTTGGAGAAGCCAGTGGGATTTCCTATCACCATCAGGAATACAAAGGTTCAGGCAGCTGCTCATAGGCTCTGGTTTCCATCGTCACTTATTCTATAGACTGGAGTAGACCAGGGGTTCAAGACATATAGCCTAGCCACACTCCTGGGCTCCCAAGGGCAAGGAAGTGTTTCTCCCCAGTTGCCTTTTAGGAAAGGACCTGTGAAGGGAGGACATGAGAACGATGACTGCAGGCTGTATGTGAGCCAGGAATTTAACTTGAGAGGTTTCTAAAAGTAGGCATGTCGAGAAATTAGCTGCTGGGTACTTCCTGTCCACTGTCCACATACTTTACAACCAACTCTGTAACAGTGTTTAAAACCCAGAGGTCTCATACCTTTAATCCCAGCTCTCAGGAGGTCAGGCCTGGTTTACATATTGAGTTCTAGACCAACCAGGGTGAGACCATGTCTCAAAAAAAAAAAAAAAAAATAATAATAATAATCGAAAAACCCCAAAGGTCTGACGTAAATGGACCCTAAAGCAAAGCCTTTCAATCTGGCTTTGACCTGGCATATGATCCTCAGAAATGATGAGTTCAGGGCTCCGCATAAAAGACAACAATGACAGGAGGCTATGGTTCAAGAATACATGGTAAACAGATGCCCTCCATCCTTACAAAATGGCCCTGGTGGAACACCCTGACAGAGTTACTTCTTGGTCTTGGTCTTGGTCCAAAACCGTTTGTATTGTTCAGTGTCAAAATTGTCAACCACCTCTGGCTCTTCTTCCCTCTTCTGCTGGAACTGAGCCTCACGTTTTCGGGATCGGGCCTTGCGCTCTTCTGGAGATAGGGCATCCAGGTCTAGGGGCATCTGCATGGGGAGAGGTAGAGATTATGTACACACCGTTGGGGAGCCAGAGAATGACTGAGAAAGACATCTGTACCTCTTTTACCTGTGCCTTCTATCCTGGCCTACTAGTTACACATTTTGTTTTGTTTTGAAGGGAAATGTTTTTCTGTTCCTTTCCCCTGGACTCAAGGTATACTTGCTTAAGACTGAGTCTTAATTAGGCCAAGAAAGCCTTGAACTCACAGCAGTTATCCTCAGCCTTCAGAGTGCTATGATTATAGATGTGTGCCACTATGTGCAGTTTTATGTGGTCCTGAAACCAAAGACTTTGCGTACCTATTAGGCCAATTAGACTACACCCCAGTTGAGATTTGGTGTTTTGTTTAAACAAACAGACATGTTAAGCCTGGTATGGTGAGATAGGCCTATATTTCCACATTTAAAAGAGGTAGAAATATTAGGTCAAGGTCAGCTTCAGCTATGCATTCAAAGCCAGCCTGGTTTGCATAAGACCACATATCAATAAAACAGGAACCAATATATCAAAAAACAAAGAACCAATTTGTTTGTTCTAATTTTAGTGACTGGAGTTTTTGGTGTAAATCCCTCCAACAACCTGTTCCCTTCCTCCTGCGCTACAGTAAAGGGACTATAACTACATACACAAGTCCAATCCCAAGTTCTGAACCCTAACACCACGGGTCAGCAAGCACCTGCTGAAGGAAGCTTACCGCTAGCATGCGTCGTGGCTCCCGGTATCGGATATGGATAGTGGAGCCATCTTGTTTGACCAACAGCACAGGGTAGAGACGAGCATAGGCCTGGCGGCGCAGCCGGGTGAAGGAAGCTCTGCTGCAGTCAGCTCTCCAGGGGGACGTGTGCAGGTAGCGGGGTGCAGGACAGGCTGCTCTCATAGCACAGTGCCTCAGCAGGCTGTGGACAGACATGCAGGCACTGGTTGACGGATGCCAGTGAGCCAGATGGCACCAAATGGCAGGCTAGCCAGCCACTGTCAGGGTATGACAGAGAACTGCCAAGCAACCGTCTAGCAACGATCGACGATTCAATCTAGTAGACTGACCTCTCCTCTATTGAGCTATTAGCAGAGTCAAAGCATGTAATGGGGGACTCGGGGCACGACAAGGCGTCCAACACTGAGGAGAGGGATAACAGCCCCTTCCTGGAGAGGACAGAGTGTCTTGAGGAGTTCTCCTGAGGGGACTAGAATTTTATGCTTACCCAAGCAGACTGTCCAAAGGCATTGTTTTTCCTTAGCACTGTGATGGCCGGAGGAAACTGTCACTGGCCCTGATGTAGGTCCTGCTAGGCAAGGAAAAAAAAAAACTGTGGGTTTTTTTTTTTCCCCATTTGATTATTGTCCTAAAATCCTGGTCTGGATCTAAGTCAGACCCAAGCGCATCTCTAGTTGTCCAACTGCCAGACTGTCAGCTTTCTGTTGTACAATTATATAGCATTTACATATGACCTGTGCACCTGTTCAAATAGACCTAAAAGAATACAGAGCCAGGCGGGGACATGTATGCTTGTATTTCCAACGATCTAGAGGCAGAAGCAGGAGGATCAGGAATTCAAGGTTATCTGGTTACATGCCGAGTTAAAGGTTAGGCTATGTTACTAGAGACTGTCTCAAAAACAAACACATCAAAACTGAAGTAAACCTAAGGGTTTACAAAAACCATATAATCGTTTTTCAACTGTTTTGTTTAGAAAACAAAAAACCCTTATGTTCAGTGCAGACTCAATTTTAAAAAGTTATCTTCAATCTGTGGTTTGAATTCTTGGACACAGACGATTAGATGTGAGATCTAAGTGTGTGTCACTTGCAAGTCTATCTTACTAGCCCTCTGGCCTCAGATTAGAAAATCCTTTCGGAGGCTTTTTACAAAAGAAGCTACCAGGGTCCTATCCTTCAAAGACTGAGGCAGTTTTCAGCGGGACAGAGGCCCACCCAATTCCTGAAGTTTATGGAATCACAACCCTCTTGTGTGGGGTATGTGGGAATGCTTGGTTCACTTTCTTTTTAACATCCTTCTAGTTTCCATAGCAATACTGCGAGAAGACTATTATCAACCACGCTTACAGTCGGGAAAAGAAGCTACTTTCTTCAATGCCAGAAACTCCCATAGTGGTCTAAGCATGTAGAAGTAGAGAGTCCCACACTCGGCAAGATAGAACCAGTGGGCGAGCGCAAGATAGATCAGGAGGTTCCCACCTAGGGAGGGAACCGCAGGGTCGGGCACCACTGCCCCGAAAGAGGTGGTCCCGCTGGTCAATGTCCCAAGTTCGGGGCCTCCTCCTCTCTAGCCTTGTCGATTAGGCCAGGGGTCGCCTGTGGAGAAGTCCCCTCCCATTTGCCTCACCCGACGCGCAAGTCGCCCACCCATTTACTCCTCAGTGATGGGGCTGGTTGGTGCCGGCACCCAAGACACGCCAACCTGCGGCCGCCACCTTAGCGTGGGAGAGACCTCGTAGACCCGCCGTGCAGAACTTTACTCGATAGGTGGGAAACTGAGGCCGAGCCACGCGAGGCCACACAGGGAACCTGTCACTGTAGATGATAATCCTCCACGATAACCCAGGTGTCCGGCAGGGGCTCGCGTCGCGCGGTGATGACGTTACATAGTGCGGGGCTGACGTCCCCGTTAAGGGCGGAGTAAGACCATGGGGGCGTGATTGGGGTAGCGCTGGGCAGTCCTAGTTAGCTATCCAGGTTCCAGCCTCCCTGCGGGTGGCAAAACCGAAGTAGGCTGCGTCTACTGACTACCCAAGCCCGGAGAGTGTGGGCGGGAGGCCGTCAGAAGTCTGTGACTTTTCAGGGTGCAGGAAGCACAGCGCTGTGCCGTGCGAGATCGGAAGCAAGACAGCTCTGCTACAGATCCATGTGCGGTCCTTAGTTGTTTCCTTGCCTGGTTGTTTTCCAGGTTTGCTCCGGATCCAGTGGTCGCCCAGGGAACCCTTTCTCTCAGCAGGTACACGGTTTGTCTTGGACTCGTGGTGGAACAATGTCTGGAAGATGGACATTCCAAGTGCCAAGTCAGGATGGCAAAACAGCCAACGTGAAAGAGTTGGCGTCACTGCGGTACTCGGTTCTTCAGAACCAAAGAACTCGACTTTCAAGCACCCGACTAGTGTCTTGTGAGTAGCCCGACACTAAAGGGTCCTGAAGCTCTTCACCTTGAGCTTGTGGCAGCGGTTTATTGTGAGCCCTGGAGGTGTGCTGCTGTGCAGGCTGCAGGACTCTCCAAAGTTTCTCAGGATGGCTACACAAACTTACTTATGTACTGCTTCTAGAGGACTTTGCCACACTGGGCCCCTGGCGTCATTGTGGCAGATCTTTTTCCTTCCCCTTTCCTATTTTTCCCTGAGTTACTTGTCTTTTACCATCATCCCTCTTGGGTTGCACTGGGCAGTTTAGTTCCCTGTCTCCTCTTAGAGCTTTCCAGCCTGTAAGCAGTGTTAGATTTTCACAAGTAGCTTAGACAGATAACGCCAGACCAAACGGTTCCATGAGGGGGGGTTTATTCAGGGTGGAGGAAAGAGAGCGAGAGGAGAGAGCAGAGAGTAGAGGTCGGGCATGACCACGTGGAGAGAGGGAGAAGGAGAGGGGGAGGGGGCAGAGGAGAACCTGTAGGTGAGGGATGCAGCCCCTTTTATAGTGGGCAGGCCTACCTGGCTGTTGCCAGGTAACTGTGGGGAGGAGTATACCTGGCTGTTGCCAGATAACTGTGGAGGTGGAGTTTAGACAGAATACTAACAAGCAGGGGTCTACAAGGGACACAATGAGAAGTGTTTTTTGTTTGTTTTTTTTGTTTGTTTTTTTTTGTTTTTTTGCAGCCTAGCGGCCAGCCTCAGGAGCTCATCGCACATAATGGCCTGCAAGTGTCGTTATCAGGCACTAGAAAACAGGGAACTCATGTGACTGTAAGCGGGTACCCATTGGATTTCGGAAGAGGAAGCTCTAGCTACCTTACAAAGGTCAGTTGATCTTCTATCAGCCAGTGAGCTCTGGCAATGGCCAAGGAGTGGCATATGCATTGTCTGAAGAAAGGACTGGTAAGCTTTTCTGCTTCACCTCTGGTCAGCAGTCCTCTTGGTGTATAGTCCTGCTGACAGGACAGCTGGCAGGGAGTCCTCTGGGTGCTGCTGACAGAATAATTTATTATAGATAAGTGAGCTCCAGCAGAGGGTACTCAGTCTGGGGGACAGGTGATGGGGTCATCACACACCTGGTGGTGAGTTTGCTTTGAGTCTATGAGGCTCTGAGACCTCAGATGCATCTTCCATTCTCCACTGAATCTATCACTAAGTTTTGAGACTCATTTTCACTGACTGAGGTTCTGTCTGTTGTCTCAGTTATGGAGTCAGAAATATCTTTGAATACAGTGATAATAAGGAGAATTTAGATACGTCTTAAATATGTTGCAAGTTGGAGAATAGAGGGAGAAACAAATAGGGATACACACACACACACACACACACACACACACAGTGTTCTCCCTGCATGCCAGAAGAGGGCACCAAGATCATATTACAGATGGTTGTGAGCCGCCATGTGGTTGCTGGGAATGGAATTCAGGACCTCTGGAAGCACAGTTAGTGTGTTCAACCTCTGAGCCATCTCTCCAGCCCTGGTTTTTTTTTTTTTTTTTTTTTTTTTTTTTTTTTTT